AGTTGAACCATGATTTGTGTAGCAGCCAATAGGATAGCGGCAGCAACTGTGAATTTGTGTCAGTTTCTCCGTCTGCGGTTTTTTCGTTATTTTATTTATGGCTGGGTATCCTCCACCCTACGGTGTTCCTGCAGTTCACTATGTTCCACAAACCTATTATACTGCTGGTTATGTCCCAGCGGCGGTTCAGCCAGCCATATCCGTACCTACGTTTCAGCCAGTTTCATCAAACACGTGGGTCGAGCACACATCGCACGATGGCCGCAAATACTACTACAACACCGTAACTAAAGTTACAACATGGGAAAAGCCCGACGAACTCAAAACGACTGCCGAAAGGTTGCTTGCGCTTTGTCCATGGAAAGAGCACAAGTCGGATTCTGGAAAGCCCTATTACTTCAACACTCAGACGAAACAATCTGTTTGGACTAAACCGCAAGAGTTGGCTGATGCAGAAGCAAACGCACTATCGGCTGACAGTTCTGCATCTGCGCTTGCGTCTGCACCCTTGCCGTCTATTGTAGCTATCGGAACTCCCATTACACCAGCCACACCAAGCGATGATCCCAAGCCTAACGAGCCGTCCGCGATGGAACTGGCAATGAAAGCCACCCTTGCCTCTATTGGTACAGATAAATCCTCAGCTAACAGCCAGGACCTTAATTCTTCCAACATCCCTCTCCCCCCACAGACTGCAGACCATGAGGTCAAGACTGATCTTCCTCCATCACACAACGACGATTCTCGAAAGGGAACGAACTTCATTTCTGGAACTCCTCCTCCCCCACCTACTCCTGCTGCTCCTGAATATAAAACTCGTGGAGAAATGGCCGAGGGTTTACGTCAACTTTTTAAAGAAAAGGGTGTCCCAGGTAACGCGACCTGGGAACAAGCTTTGAAGCTGATTGGGGACGATCCGAGGTATGCCGTTTTGCGGAACTTTGTAGAGAAGAAACAGATATTCAATGTGTACAAGACGCAGCGCCAGAAAGAGGAACGTGAAGAGCAAAGAATGCAGGCAAAACAGGCAAAGGAAAATCTTGAAAAGTTTTTGTTACAAACTAAGAAGATTCATTCGACGATGTCATACCGAAAAGTTGATCAGGTCCTATCTGATGTTCAGGAGTGGACAAGTGTACCAGACCACGACCGTAGGATACTTCTCGCCGATGCCATTCAGGAAATTGCCAAACGAGAGAAAGAGGAGGCAAAAACATTACGAAAACGTAATATCAAGGTTTTTAATGAAATACTGAATACCATGCCCAACTTGACTTACCGAACTACGTGGAGCGAAGCCCAACAAATGCTGTTAGACAATTTCAAGTGCGTTGAATAATTTTTAACTGTTACCATAAGTTTATGCGCTTTTTAATGGTTTTCGCTTTCGTTTTGAACACCTTCAATTAATTATTTTTTGAGTTATTGTTGAGTCATGCTAGTGAATTTGGTGCAGTATTACTCCAAATTCTTTCCTAAGCCTCCGCACTTAATAGAGTTTCGGGCTTATTTAACTTTCTGATGGACCAAATACCAGTCTCTAAACAAATTGTTTAAGTACTGACCTGTATAGTAAATACTGACTTGCCTCGCTGTATTTTTGTCTTGACATTCTTTACTTATATTATTCGAGACATCTTTATCCTGATTACCTCTAAATAGGGCTTCTATTTGAGTGATTAACGAGCTAACACAACTTATCTTGTCCGCAAAGAACTGATATGATATTAGCCCCGTTTGATACTTCTTATCGTTTCCGTTATCATGAACAACCGGCTGACCATTTCTGGAATATACTTGGAGGACAAGCCGGTCACCGAATAGGTAAAGTAAATCGTAGCTTGAACCTCGAAAGCGATGATTTTGTTCAGATACCTTGCTTGACTTTATTCCCGCGATCAGGTACCAAGCTTTTTACGGTTTTGAGCTAACCGGAAATATTATGGCTCTAACCTGGACACTAATTTATTCACGCTCTCTGATCGCTTAGTGTCTCAGTGAGTTTCAGTAAATCTTTCTCAAACATTCGCCTGATCATTTGTTTTTCCTCCTTGTTGAAGCTCAGTCATATAGGCTTCGTAGCTTGATTTCTGTCGACCAGTTAAAGGTGGCTATGTTGAAAGTAATCGTTTTATTCAAATACTTACTTCAACCGATCAGGTTTCTCCCCTAAACAAGAGTATATATTATATCATAGCAAGTGGACCCCAAGTTAACTCACGTCGATTTGGGCCGCAAATGCTGATCATCGCAAAGGATAGACAACGTCAGTGCGTTTGCGCTATGTAGTATGGGCAAATAAAGAGAGCATTGTACGCTCAGGTGTACGGGCTTATCCAAAATATTGCGCATAATATTTCGGTTCGGGAGAGGTTCGGGAACCACCTTCAACCTACTTTCTCGTAACTGAATTGGTTATGAGAATAACTGCGATGCGAGAAAATACTCACCTACCCTTCCATTGCAATAAAAAAAAACACGGATCGTTCTGAGTCAGTTAAATACGGACGACCCGTCACCATCTCTTCGTCCTTCCCACAAGCTGCCTAAAAAAACGCCTTTCTTAGGCGTACTTAATAGTTTATGCCCATTTGCTTCTTGTTAGCCTCAGAGCCAGTCCACAGCTCTCGTTTACTTTTTTAAACTACAGATTTACAAGTGATTTGGAGCTCCAAAATTTGGACAAGGAGGATGCCCTTGTTTGTTTTGAGGAGCACATTCGAATGCTTGAAAGGGAACATGACG